GACGATGTGTGTGCAGCAGCTCGAACGTGTTACAAACGGACTCCGCGGTGTCTACGTACGAACGTACACACACCGGGCAGCATATGTCATATACTTTGGTTGTGTCACACCTATCTTGGTTTGAACACTGAGTTTATATGTGAAAAAAAAGAAGTATATATAAAAAAAATATATATATATATATATATTAAGCAAAAAATACTATTACAATATTAACATTAATATATATATAATTGTAATAATAATTATAACAATGAATAAAATAATAATAGTAATAATGAAATAATAATTAAAAACATACTGCTTGATTTTTCAGTGAGAGCGCGTGATTAAAAACAAAAAAAAAAAGAAAAACACACGGATGATGGCAGAGAGGGAGGGGAAAGATTAGCGCATGTGCAGGCCACGAAGTGCAAAAGAAAAAAAAACAGATTACTAGTGAGAAAAGTGAATGAAGCGAGCAAGAGAGGAAAGAATGCGTGTGTGCGTGTCTCCTTCGTATATACATATATTTATGCGTACTTGTGTAATTGCGTGGGCATATGCGCGTTCGCATGTTGTATACGTGTATGAGAAGAAGAAGGGAAAACAAAAAAGGAAGGGAAAGGTGAAGGAAAGTTTGAGGTAAGCGAGAGAGAGAGAGAGAGAGAGAGAGAGAGAAAGAAAGAAAGAAAGAAAGAAAGAAAGAGAGAGAGAGAGAGAGAGAGAGAGAAAGAGAGCGTTTGTGCGTGCGTGAAAACATTTTATCGAAGGATATACAAAATAAAATTGAAGATTGATCGCAACACAATGGGCTTTGTACGATCCTCAAATCGTGTGAGAAAAAAATTGGCGAGTGACGACGTGCAAGAGTCTCCGAGAAGTTGTTAGGTTCATTTTGTAAATCATCTCTCTTTCATTAGGATGCATACACCACTCTCTTTCGGGAGCATATAAGAAAAAAAAAAAACAAAAACTATGTTGAATATTCTTTCTCTGTGTATAAAATTGTAAACATCTATCATCCGAAATCGATATATATATGTTTCTAACTTATTTATAATAAATAATATACATTAATGATAAAAATAAACACAGTTTGTGACAGTAGCATTGACGTGGGTGACGACAGAATTCATCCCTTCCAATCGACAACGACGACTTCCCTCTTCCGGCATACTGTTCGTTGACGTTTTTTTACTTTTTTTTTTTTTTGTGAGTTGATAATTTTTCACTCGCATCGAACATAATCGGTTCTAATTCTCTTTTACGTGTGTAGAGCGCGAAGATTTGTCTCCTTTATCTCCCTATTATACGCATCTCTCCAAAACGCGTCATATATACTCAAATAATTGTATTTAGATAACGTCGTGTTTTCCAGCCGATAAGCGATTCTCGCTTGTCACGTATATAATTTGTTTTATAGTCGGTGTATTTTTTTCTGAAATTTTTCTCTCACTTTCAAAAATTTTAATAACTGCATAAGTATGCAATTATGTTTATACTGAAAAAAAATAAATTATAAAAATCGAAGCT